GGAATGCCCAGAATCTGAGCTAGGTGTCAGTGTGGCATGAAGAGCCCCACATACATTATCTGCCGCCGCCATGAGAACCCATTTCAGAGATGAAGAAAGTCATGGGTGGCTCCCGACCAACCTCAAGGGCAGCTGCCCCCAGGGAGGATTTACTTCAGGCCAAAAGCATCACTCCCATGATCCTACTGACCCCTACATTTACCCTGAGCAACTGCCATAATTCTCCCCCACTTTACAGGTGAGGAAACTGAGGCTCAGAGAGGTGGCAGCAGCAGTTCTCCATGGGGGAGGGGATCGCCTCCTCTACCACCCCACTCTGGGGGGCATTTGGCAATATCCAGAGACATTTTCGGTTGGTTGTCACAACTGGGGGTGCTACTGGCATCTACTGGGTTGAGTCCATGGATGCTGCTCAACATTCTATAGTACACAGGACAGCCTCCATCTCAAAGAATGATTCAGCCCCAAATGTCAATAGTGCTGAGGCTTAGAAACCCTGGATTAAAGGACACAGATGCACACGCTGAGCTGCTGACCATGACCCAGGAAGGATTTCACAGCAGCCCCACCTGCAAGGTGCTGGCCTGGTCTACGTCTTTCCCCACCATGAAAACCCTCCAGCTACATTTTTTTGACGGCAGAACCAAGGCTCAGAGAGGGAAAGGCACGGGGCCTAGGACACACTGTTAGGAAGTGAGAGCTCTGGAATTTAAACTCAGGCTCACCTAATACCACCTGCTACCAACCAGGCCCCATCTGCCACCCAGCCCCACCCTATCCCCAGCAGGCAGAGCAGGGGTACAGCCAGGAGCAGGGCCAGGTCAAATGAGGGAAGTCCAGGCAGGCTCCCTCAGCCCCACCTCCTCCAGCAGCTGAGGCCTGAGAATATGCAGAGCAGGGAGGGAGGGAGGCCCGCCCTCCTGGGTTCTCCTCTCTTGGGTGACTCACTCCTACCTAGGGCAGGGGTCACCTGAGGGCCAGCATGATGAACCCATGAATCAGGAGCCTGGCCTGGCCTTGAAGAATCCCTGCTCCCTCAACTCCCACCATGAAGCAGGAGACCCCAGGTCCAGATGGTCCATCTTCCAGAATTCCCCTCTTCCCAGAGTGGCCAGGGACCCAGACCCCATGTCCGGAGATTTCAATGCTTTGGGCGTTTCCGGAATCTGGACAGGACATCCGTTTGCTGGACACAGAATGGACAGGCACACACTGGGACAGACAGAGGGACAGTTTAGCAGACCCAAGCAGCCACGAGAAAGGAATGACCAGGATAGGGGAAGAGAGCAGGAAGGAGATGGGAAAGGGGACCAGGGCACAGGTCCAGCCTCGTTCCAGGAATCACAGCCTCCGTCCGGGTCATGTTTGCTACACGCCAAGCGCATGCATGCGCCAGGGGATTCCTACACAGCCCTCCCAGGGCTGAGGTGTAGAGGCAGAGACCCCAGCCCTCCCCAGCCCCCAAGGTCTGACCTTGTGTGATCGGCAACACCAGATACGCCCAGCTCCTCGGCAAGGCTGGCAGGCCATCAGCAGGACTGGGATGGGGGATGGGGGTCATGGGACAGACACAAAGGGGATGTGGGGGCAGGTGCAGAAGGAGACGAGAACCCAGTTACACAGCAACCACAGGACGACGGAGGGGTGATGAGGCGCTAATGGGGGCACCAGAGGTACAGGACATGTCTCAGATTTGGGTCACTGAATGAAAGAAGTTTCAGAAGTCACCCTGGCACTGCTAGCCACAAATAGGGAAGGTGAGTCCCGGGCTGTGATGTCCACAAGGTGGCACAGGAAGAACCTGGCTGGGAGGCAGGTTGGTGTCAGTCAGCTGTGCCTCTGCGTGTGTGTGTGTGTGTGTGTGTGTGTGTGTGTGTGTGTGTGTGTGTGTGTGTGTGTGTGTGTGTGTATGTTGTGGGGTGACCCAGCCCATGCCCAGGTGGGATTCCAGGTATAAGAGAATCCCCAGTCTGTTGATATGGACACTCCCCACCTGGGATAAGGTTCCACCTGGCAGCTGGGTGGCCCGTCCCCCGACCTAATGAGGTGACTCTGGCACTTCCGGCAACAGGTGACAATCTGGGTGGCGTCGGGACCATCGTAAAGCTCAGTCTGGAGGTGGGGGCGGCTGGAGCTTTGTTGTGCGGGGGAGAGGAACGGGCCGGGCGGCCTCCTCCCTTCCCGGGGCACCGCGCCAGGCACCTGCTCAGGTGGAGATGCACCTGCCCGGAACCGAACGCTGGGAGGGAGAACGAGTGGCAGGGGCGACAGGCACCGGGATGCACAACCAGCCACAGACACCTGAATTCTAGCCTCCGCCGCGGCCCCTCTAATTCTCGGGGAAGGGCGGAGCTTGGGGGTGCTTGAGGACCTCCCTGCTCCCCCCTTGTGCGTACCTCCACCTGCTGAGAAGGGGACGGTGCTGGCTCCACGGTGCTGGCCCAGGGAGGGGGCGCCCAGTGCTCGGGGGAGGGGGGGACCCGCCCTGGCCGCCCCGATCCCGGGGGCTCCGGCAGCGCGAGGGCGGGGGTCCCCGGTGCCGGCTGGCCGCCAGGGGGCTGAGGACGCAGGTGCGCCTACCTGCAAAGCATCGCTGGCCATGTCCACGCGCCGTCCGCCAGGGGTCCCCGCGCAGAGAGAGGGGCGGTGAGAGGAGCGTGCGTACGCCCCACGCGGGGCGGGGAGGGGGCGGGCGCGGCGCGACCCCCCCGCCCCGGGCGCACGGCCCTCTCCGGCCTGCTCAGCTCTAGCCCCGCCTGGCCTGGCCGCCGTGTCCGCGCGCCTCGCCCTCCGGCCCCAGCTGCCGCCTGGCTCGGTCACGTGACCGCCTAGGTCGGCGCCCGAGGAGGGGGCGGGGCCGAGGGGGCGCGGCTCCCGGCGGCCCCCGGGGCTGCGAGGTCCTGCCTGCCGGACGCCCCCGTTCCCGGCCGAAAGCGCCTCGTCCTCTTCCCCAGCCTTTTCCTCTTTCTGAATCCTCCCTCTGCCCACGGGTGCCCCATTTGAGCGCGCAGGAACCCGATGAAAAGAGTGAGCCACGTTAAAGCGGGGAGCTGTGGAGGCCTTTGGGCCTCCCGGGATCTCTCAAAAAACAAAACCAATTCATCCCCGCCTGTGTTTGCAATTTTAGGCCGCTTGGAACGGTCCGTCATTCTAAGGCACAGGAGCTTCCCCATAGGCTGGAGACAAGCTCTGAGCAGACTTGTGTTCAAATCCCCGCCTGCCTTGGGGGAGTCCCCAAACCCTAAAAGCCCCTCATCGGTAAAACGGGAAGGATTTACCTACCCACCCCTTAGGTGTTGGCAAAATTAAATGAGACAGTACATGCCAAGTGCTGTGAATACACAGCTCAATAAAGTTTAGCTGCTGTGATTTTTAGTGTTTTTGCCGTTGTTATGAAAAGGGATTTGAACCCTAAATCCGTCACGGACTCGCTGCGGGCCCTGTGGCCGCTGAGCCCTCAGTTTTCCCTGCTGTAAAATGGGGGCCCGCCTCTTCTTCGGGGCTGCTGCATGCAGGTGGCGCTCCACAATGCAGACTCCTGCCCTATCGGAGGCAGAAGGTGGAGACCTTTGAGGAGCCTCTCAGGGTCTCCGGAGTCTCTGTAGCATGCAGCCGGGCTCGTGGCCGACCCCGCACTCCCTTTCAAATCCGGTGACTGGGCCAAGCCGCGGTCCCTGGGGCGCGGGGCGGGGAGCGTTCCCTGGCAGCGCCGCCTCATTGGCGCCCTCCTGGGACCCGCCAGAGCGTGGAGGGCTGCGGGTACCTTGGTTACCGGCAGCTGTGAGTGGTTTGCACCGTTCCAGAGACCGGGGCGGGATGTTTTCTTTCTCCCTTTTTCCTTTGGGCGACTCTTTGGGGCTGGTTGGTGGTGGTGGTGGTGGTTATCAGAGAAAGAACGAGAAGGAGGAGGAGGAGAAATCATACAAATCCAGAATCCACCCACTTCTCACCCTTCCACTATCTCCACCGGGTCCAGTCTTCATCATCGTTCGCCTGGACCAGTGCAGTCGCCTCCTCCCAGGTCTTTCGGCTCTTCCCTCGACCTCGTAGTCTCTTTTCCGCACAACACCCCAAGGACTCCTAGGAACACCTGAGTCAGGTCATGTCCCTCCTCTGCCTAGATCCCTCTTTGGCTCCCACTTTCCTCAGAGTAAAAGCCAAAGTCTTACCCGCAGCCCACAAGGCCCTGCACGATCTGCCCCCTTCACCTTCCCTCTCTCCTATTCTCCCACCTCTTTCCC